TAGGCCATGGCAGCACAACAATGGGTAGCTCCTCCCTATCCCTAACCAGACAGGAACCTAATTAAAACAGAAGGTATAAGTAACCCCTCCTACCCCTCCCACCCTCAGTCTTGTTTTCAGCAATATCCCAGGGCGGGATCTTAGTGCTGCCATGGCCTATGACCGGGAAAAGAAAATTACGGTAAGTAGGAATAAATTTTCCTTTTTCCTGGCCATATCCATGGAAGCACAACAATGGGTAATACCAAAGCAATAACCAAGGGAGGGAAAGAAGTACACAAGACTTCCAAAATATGAATGCAAATTGACAACACACACACACACACACACACCTCATAAGGACATTGGAAATGAAAAACTGATTGCCCACTATTGGTACATCATCAAATTGACCAACTCAAATGTATAAAAAAAAAAAAAGTTTGAAAATTGATTGAGGACCAAGCAGCCATTTGCGTACAAGTTCCAGGGAAGCTTGGCCACCGATGCTCAATAGGGAGAAATGGCTCTAGAGCATGTAATCCCTAGGGCTTAGTAGCCTAAATAACAGCCAAGACTATCCATCTGTTGATGGATTATATAGAGGCTTGAAGATCTTTATGGTCTATTAGTAAAGATAAACAGAAGAAATCCAGAAAGCGGATCTATAGAAATAGATCTTAAGGCATCTATCTAGGACAGGAGGAGAAAGTTTTATTATGGACTCTACATTCTATGCAAAATATTGCTTGAGGATCTAATACCCCTCAGTCCATGCCAATGTCACCGATAGAGCTAACTTAATATTAAGCAATTGTGGAGAGATATACTCTCATGATTTAGAAGGGGTGAAGATTTCAGAGCCCTAAAAAAACAGGGAAGAATTCCACGGAGAGCAATAGATAACCGTGGGATCATATAAATACAGCTGACAGAAATGTAGATACTTCCATATTAAAGCCCTTTCACGAAAGAGAGATCAGAGAGTGCTGAGACATCTCAGAGGTGATATGGCCAATTCCTAGATAAGTCCTGGATTGAAGAACTTAGAACCTTCTTGAAAGAATGAATTTGAATGAAAACCTAATTGGAAATAGACCAGGAAAAAAAGGCATCTCAACTCTGTAAAGGTAGCCAAGGATATAAGTTTTCCCATGGCCCTCAGAAGGGTATTAATTACTGTAGTTCAAAAACTCATATTTAATCCCTTCTTCATTATCGAAACCTTCAGAATGAGGAAAGTAGCACTGGACCTGATGGAAGAAGAACTATTTTGGGAGATCCCAGGGAGGTACTGAAGAAGATAAGTAGAAGTGGAAACCATGGACTGGGTATTAATATGGAACTGGACTGGGTATTAATATGGAACTGTCAGGATGATTGATATTGGTTTTTGCAACCTATGCAGAAGAGAAATGTTGGATGTTAATTGTGTCCCTTTCCTGAACATATTTGAATTTGGAGAAAAGTTCCTCAACCCCAGTTGATGGTATTCGTGGTTATCACTGTCCAAAGGATTTTCATAGGTAAGTTAACCTCCACCCTTGTGACATCTTATCAGATCTATGGTGGAGGACCTGGATCAAAACTCTCTCTGCTGGGGTAATATGCTAGTCTGAAAAGAGCTGTATTGTGCCTTGGACCATGTCGAACTGTATTCCCAGCTATACCCTGAACTGGGAGGGAGCAAGGTGACTACAGCAGACATTCATCTTTCACCATGAAGATGTAAAAATAAAAGTGATGCATGGCAATAAGCATCCTGCAAATCTATAGACATCATTCAATGTACTAGGAACACTACCTTTATACAGGGAGTGCAGAATTATTAGGCAAATGAGTATTTTGACCACATCATCCTCTTTATGCATGTTGTCTTACTCCAAGCTGTATAGGCTCGAAAGCCTACTACCAATTAAGCATATTAGGTGATGTGCATCTCTGTAATGAGAAGGGGTGTGGTCTAATGACATCAACACCCTATATCAGGTGTGCATAATTATTAGGCAACTTCCTTTCCTTTGGCAAAATGGGTCAAAAGAAGGACTTGACAGGCTCAGAAAAGTCAAAAATAGTGAGATATCTTGCAGAGGGATGCAGCACTCTTAAAATTGCAAAGCTTCTGAAGCGTGATCATCGAACAATCAAGCGTTTCATTCAAAATAGTCAACAGGGTCGCAAGAAGCGTGTGGAAAAACCAAGGCGCAAAATAACTGCCCATGAACTGAGAAAAGTCAAGCGTGCAGCTGCCACGATGCCACTTGCCACCAGTTTGGCCATATTTCAGAGCTGCAACATCACTGGAGTGCCCAAAAGCACAAGGTGTGCAATACTCAGAGACATGGCCAAGGTAAGAAAGGCTGAAAGACGACCACCACTGAACAAGACACACAAGCTGAAACGTCAAGACTGGGCCAAGAAATATCTCAAGACTGATTTTTCTAAGGTTTTATGGACTGATGAAATGAGAGTGAGTCTTGATGGGCCAGATGGATGGGCCCGTGGCTGGATTGGTAAAGGGCAGAGAGCTCCAGTCCGACTCAGACGCCAGCAAGGTGGAGGTGGAGTACTGGTTTGGGCTGGTATCATCAAAGATGAGCTTGTGGGGCCTTTTCGGGTTGAGGATGGAGTCAAGCTCAACTCCCAGTCCTACTGCCAGTTCCTGGAAGACACCTTCTTCAAGCAGTGGTACAGGAAGAAGTCTGCATCCTTCAAGAAAAACATGATTTTCATGCAGGACAATGCTCCATCACACGCGTCCAAGTACTCCACAGCGTGGCTGGCAAGAAAGGGTATAAAAGAAGGAAATCTAATGACATGGCCTCCTTGTTCACCTGATCTGAACCCCATTGAGAACCTGTGGTCCATCATCAAATGTGAGATTTACAAGGAGGGAAAACAGTACACCTCTCTGAACAGTGTCTGGGAGGCTGTGGTTGCTGCTGCACGCAATGTTGATGGTGAACAGATCAAAACACTGACAGAATCCATGGATGGCAGGCTTTTGAGTGTCCTTGCAAAGAAAGGTGGCTATATTGGTCACTGATTTGTTTTTGTTTTGTTTTTGAATGTCAGAAATGTATATTTGTGAATGTTGAGATGTTATATTGGTTTCACTGGTAATAATAAATAATTGAAATGGGTATATATTTGTTTTTGTTAAGTTGCCTAATAATTATGCACAGTAATAGTCACCTGCACACACAGATATCCCCCTAACATAGCTAAAACTAAAAACAAACTAAAAACTACTTCCAAAAATATTCAGCTTTGATATTAATGAGTTTTTTGGGTTCATTGAGAACATGGTTGTTGTTCAATAATAAAATTAATCCTCAAAAATACAACTTGCCTAATAATTCTGCACTCCCTGTAAATAAGAATTGAAATTGAAAAATCAATCAATGAATTGATTATTTCTTTGTGTATCTGCCCCTGGCCAAATTAATGAAACAATGCGTGCACGCTCCCTGAAGTAATTCACACCAGACACAGGTTCCAGGTTGTTGAATAACTTGAGGAATGTTTATTCAGAGGGGACGGCAGGTCCCTTTTAAAGCAAAATTACATCATAAGCATTGTCAGAGATAACATAGAATAATACATCAATAATTGGTTAGGTGTTAAGTGGTCTTCCTAATGCTCTGCCTACTAAGGGTGATGTCACCAGGACCATGAGGGTTTCCCGGCGCCATCTTGTTGCACGAGGTAGTTAGTCGGTGTTATTGGGGGGGGAGGAGGGGTTAGAAGCTTCTAGTAGCCATCTTGATTAAAATGTACGTGTATAGCTTATATACTGTATTTTGTGAGATGAGTAAATAGACATTTTACTAACTAGGAAATATGTGTAGACCTTATTTCCACAACAGTCCCCCCTAAAATGGCTATTTACCATGACAACTGCCACTGTCCCTAGTGTATCCCTGGCTGCCAGCAGCTCATCTATTTTAACAAGCATCGAACACTTCACTCCGTGGGTAACCCGCAGTAGCTAGTCCACCACATCTCCGCACGTGAGACTTGCCCGTAGAGACAGACGCTTTCCCTACACTGTCCCTACAGGAATGCAGTTGTCTGTTTGAACTGATGTGACTGGAGGGGTGTGTGTGGAGTGTCACTCTCGAGGTCTGTGATGTCTTGGTGTAGGAAAGTAGGAGTCACGTCATCTATAGTCTTCCCTACTGCTTTCTGTAAGTACTTTTGTATGCAAGGGAGCACACAACAGGTTAGGAATAAAAAGATAATAATCATTATGAGGACAGCCGTTCCTACCTGGAATAGGGTCCTTTGCCAACCATTCATCCACCCAAACCATCTGTCCCAAGTGTCAGTGGCTCCTGAGTTCTTTTTTAGCTCGTCGGAGAGGCTATCTAGCTTCTCTATGGCCATAGTTACCTTACCATTTGGCCCAGTGTTGTCTGGAATGAATGTGCAGCATGTCATAGTTTCAGGGAGGATCTTACATACACCCCCTTTCTCGGCTAAAATCATATCTAGGGCCATTCTGTTCTGAAATGTCATTTGGGTGGTGGCTTGTAATTGTTCTGCCAGGCCCTGTAGGGCATCCCTAGTGTAGTTAACAAAGCGCTGTTGATTATAATAGATGTAATTAATCCAATTGACATTCTTGTTAGCAGTTATCATTGGAATCAAGGATTCAAATCCTGCTGCCACCTCATCCCTTGCTTTGAATTCGTTAGGCACCCCCCTTGGCACACCAATAGCATCAATATATACATGGGGGTCGAAGCTCCCTCGGATGGGGGCTTCACGTCTAGTTCTAGGATGTGCGTGTGTGTAGTCTAGCGTGTTATGGCTACCGTCTGGAATGATGGGGATGGGCATTATAGCTTTGGTCAAGGCACACTCTCCCCACCATTGCCCCACCAGTTGGGACCGCAACTGCCTATCGCCACATAACCAATATATGTCTCCAACTGTCTTTGCATGATTCATTAGCAGTGATACAGGCGGGCTATGGTAGGTTGAGCAATATCCAGATGGGAATTTGCACCAGTATTCTTAGGTATTGAGTAACACGTGTAATTACCTGGATATACTGTGACTTCATCAGGTGGCCTAACGTATCCATGAGTGATTGGGTAAACCTTTTTCCACGATTCACATGTTGAGGAATTTGTGGTGGATTGTGCATAAAGACTTAAAACACATCATTCTACTTCAGGACGTAAACTCAGAGGAACTGTACCCAGATGGGGCCTGGCTCCTCCACATACATAACAATTAGTCTTATTGTGTGAGTTAGCGTTGTACCTCATCCACTCTAGCCACAGATTGGTGTCTGAGAACCCAGTTTCCACTGCCATAGTGTCTTCAAAGGTGGGGTTGGCTATAGCTACCATGTCATGTAGAGTCTTAATATGTGGTTTCAACGGGTTAATAGTCATGTGAGTGGTTCCTACCCAGTCTGGTGAGGTAAGCATGTCCTGTAGATAAAATGTCCCCAGTTTATTATATGAGCCGGCTCCCCTCCAGTACATTCCCATTACATATTCCCCTGCGTCTTTTGGGCTGGGGTGCTCTATGTTCAAGGTAAGCTTGATGGGGGTTGACCCAATAGGCTTACTTACGGTCATTCTGGAGAGTAAAGGTTTTCCATCTTTGTCAATTCTGTCTAATGCACTCTGGGGTCCGTAACCCCATGGTCTACCCGTGTTCCACCCGGCGGCTTTCCATGAACTACAATGATGCCCCCAAGTTCCTCCAGTCACACAAATGTATGGATCCTTTTTGTTAGGTATGTCCTTGTATATGGCTGCATATTGTGTTTGTGGGAAGGTGCAAACAACTATGTCACAGTAGTCAAAGGTGTATGTGGCTAATGGGAGACTCTCGGGCCAGGGCATGTTAGTTTCCTGTGACATTTTAAGCATTCTGGCTTTTAAAGTGCCATTCATGCGCTCTACCTTACCACTACTCTGTGGATGATATGGTGTGTGGAATGCAAGGGTCACCCCCAGTGCTGACCAGACCTCCCGTGTCAACGAGGCAGTGAAGGAGGTCCCTTGGTCACTTTCAATCACTTCTGGAACTCCATATCGGCAGACAATTTCCGTCAAGAGGTGCTTGGCTGTGGTTCTCGCAGTGAGATTAGCCACCGGGAAGGCTTCTGGCCATCCTGAGAACATGTCCACAATGACTAATGCGTATTCATAACGTCCACTTTTTGGCATTTGAATATGGTCAATCTGTATCCTCTGAAAGGGGTATTGGGGCTTAGCCAGGTGATTAGGTGCGGTTTTAACAATCTTCCCAGGGTTACATTTAGCACATATTGTGCAAGATCTACAATAATTCTGTGTCAAGGTAGTAATGCCTGGTGCTTCGAAATACTTATCAATCAATGAGTTCATCAAATGTTTTGACAGGTGGGCCGGCCCATGGGCCCATTGAACTACAGCTGGATACATATTTCTGGGTAGGCAAAACTTGAGATTGATAGTGTAAACATCATCACGGTGAACAGCTCCTTTGTTCTTCCAACTTTGTTTCTCCTGGGGAGTAGCAGCTGCTTGTTGTTCCTTTAGAAGCCTGAGATCTGTAGGCAATGTCTGCATAGTGTAGATAGGTACTGTGCCACTCTTCTGTCCACTTCCCATCCTTGCCCCGTGCTTCCTCTGAGTCTAGCCTTCCATGGGCTTTTACTTTTAATACCACCACCTCTGCCGGAAGTTCTAAAGCATCCATCAGTTCTGCGATGGCTGCCCCATGTTTCACTGGGGTACCGGTGGCTGTGAGAAATCCTCTAGTTTTCCAAATTAGACCAAAGTCATGTGCCACTCCTAGGGCATACCTTGAGTCTTTATAGATATTGACACGTAGGCCTTCAGACAATTTGCAGGCCACGGTTAGGGCTGTTAGCTCGGCTTCTTGGGCTGACTTGGTTGGCTGGAGGGCAGCTGCTTGTAATACTTGACATCCTGTGGTGACTGCATACCCAGTGTGATATTGTCCCTGTTCATCAGCAAATCTAGAGCCGTCCACAAACAGTGTTTGGTCTGGGTTGAGTAACGCAGCTTCATACACAGTCGGCAAGTGGGTAGTTTCCATTTTCATTTGTTCAAAACAATCATGAGGAATATCAAAGTCACAGTCTATGGTGAGTAAGTCCTCCCAGACTTCTGTGTGGTACCTAGGGTACCCAGCTGTACAGTGGTTAATAGTCTTTTTGGTTATCCCCATAGAGGTCAGTTGTTCCTGGGTTGCTTGATTCCAGGCCTTGGCCATCGGGCCTAAATCTCTGAGATATGTGTGGGACAGCCGTTTCCCAATGATGGTAGAGATGTGTCACATTCTCTGGGAGATGAACTAATATGATCATGTTACCTGTGGAATCCAATAATAGGTCAGTCAGAGTGATTTGAATTTCCTTGAGTTGGAACAGTTCTTCCTCATAATTCATGTCAGGGCCTGGACTGCCCTTAAACCACAGGGTGCAGTGGAGTAAGTTCTCTGATTGTTCATCATGTGGGGGTGCAAGGGCAGGCAGCTGCAAATCTGCTCGAACCTCTGGGTTGATGTCCAAGCTATACCAATACTGCACAATTCCCCCCTTGGGAAGTGGCAGAAGAGTGGCCGGGTTCAGGGAGAGACACCGCTGAAGTTTCACATTGTCAGGTAACAGTAAAGATGTTTGCAGGCGAAGGTGGCGTTGAGAAGAAAGGTGCTTAGGCTGAACTTGTTGGAGGATCGCAGAAATGTCATGAGGGGCCAACACTGTGAGGTGGTGACCAAGAACAAAGTCATTAGTCTTGTCCAAGAGGGCACTGGCAGCAAACACCGCTCTGAGGCAGGAGGGGCTACCCCTAGCAACAGGGTCAAGCATGCAGGAGAAATAGCCAATAGGCCGCTGTCTTGAACCATGTTTTTGGGTAAGGACTCCGGAAGCATGTCCAGACTTTTCAGAGACAAACAAATTGAAAGGCAACTGGTAGTTTGGAAGGCCCAAGGCAGGTGCTGACGCGATAGCTCTCTTCAGACTGTGGAAAAAGGCAATAGCATCTTCAGAGAGATGGAAAGGTTCACTCCTGAGGGCATCATAGAGTGGCTGCATGAGCTACGAGGCTTCAGGTATCCAGGACCTGCAGTACGTGATGAGTCCCAAAAAGGTATGAAGAGTCTGGTGTGCTGCAGGCAATGGGAGTTGTAGGATAGCTTGTACACGTTGGGAAGTTAAATGCCTGGTGCCATGGGAAAGACAATGTCCCAAGAAGACCACAGAGGGCCGGCACCACTGTAGTTTGGATTTGGAGACTTTGCAACCCGCTTCAGCGAGGAAACATAGGAGATCCTCAGAGTCTCGTTCTGCAGTGTGAAGGTCTGTAGCACAGAGAAGGAGATCATCGACATATTGGAGGAGAACAACATCAGGATGGGATTTCTGCCAAGGTTCCAGAACCAAAGACATAGCACGGGCAAACTGTGTGGGAGAATTCTGGGCCCCCTGTGGCATGACAGTCCAGGTATATTGTTGTCCTTCGTGGGTAAAGGCGAAGAGGAATCGACAGGAAGGGTCTAGTGGCACACTGAAAAATGCATTAGCCAGATCCACAACAGTAAATATTGTGGCAGTAGATGGGACCTGGGACAAAAGAGTATGAGGATTTGGAACAATGGCGGTATCTTTGACAGTTACTTCATTGACAGCACGAAGATCCTGAACCATTCAGTATTGATCAGGTTGGCCCTTGGCAGTTTTCTTCTTGACAGGAAAAAGAGGAGTATTACATGGAGACACATACTTAATGAGTGCACCCTTGGCGAGTAGGCTCTCAACTTGTTTGGTGATAGCTTGAGCTTGTGCAGGTTTCAGAGGATACTGTGGCCTACGGGGGGGTAATGCTCCTGGTAGGAGCTTGACCACAACGGGGGGCACCTGGAGACGTCCGATGTCATCCGGGCCAGTGGACCAAAGCTTTGGTGGGATCCGGTCTAGAGCACTGGGGGTATGTGGGACCCGTGAATTCCCTGTGGAAGCAGTGAGATTTAACAATATGGGGAGAGAGCAGAGTACAGAGGTGTCTTTCTGTGATAAGGTTGTGGTTAACTGGACCTGACCATGAGCAGTAAAGGTAATAGAAGCCTGGAGCCGGGAGAGGACATCAGCACCCAAGAGGTTAATGGGACAAGTAGAGGAAACGACAAACCGAGAGAGAATGTGTGACCCAACATGAAGAAGCTTAGTGAGGGGGTTACTGCGGGGTGTACCATCAACCCCTACCCAGGAGACATCGGTGTCAGACAAAAAGGAGGGGTCAGGCAGGTCTTGTTCCCTAAGAACACTACGGGCTGCACCTGTGTCAACTAGAAAGGTAGTTGGATGACCCTCTAAGGGAGAACTACAGTAGCTAAGGGCCCTCCTCCCTCCCCCGCAGACACTTCCATGGCAGGGGTTGCTGACACAGGCTTGCCGGTTACCTATTGCAATAAATCTAAATGAGCCTGGTCGGGCCCTTGGTACCGGCGGGTAGAAGTGGGAGGGTGGCTGGGCTGCATAGCAGGACGAGCAGGGCGGTTCTGTCTAGGCAAGGTTTGATTCTCTGGGAAATCATCCGTATCGAACCCATCAGCAGGGGCAGGGGGGTAGACACGGGTCTCGGGGGCAGGTGGCCGGGCCTGGGTATATTCAGGAGGAGGGGGAAACTGAGGCAACGGGGGGTGAGGCAAGGAATGGAAGTAACCTGGGGAGGAGTGGCTGTAGCCGGTAATCTGGGGATTAGTATAACGGGGAGTGAGGGCCCGGTCCCGGGAAGGGGGAACAGAAACAGGGAGTGTTTGGGGCTGCTGAGTGTATTGTTGGGTGTATACCTGGGGAACATTGATAGGACCAGAGATCGGTGTAGGTGCAGTGAACATCAGTGGGCTAGCTCTCCTTTGTGTGGGTTGTAAAACTGACTCTAAATCTTTGGCTACCAACAAAAGGGTGTCAAGTGGAATAATTCTGTACTCAGGGCGAGATAGGATCAGTCCCTTACGAATGTGTTCCTTAAGACCAGCCACGAAGACTGCAGATAACATCTGGGTGTGTGCTTTGTTATAGGTACTGAACCCTAAGTCTGAGAAGGTCTGAGTTAATCTGGAGTGATATTTCTCAACTGACTCAAGTTTGTCCTGAACAATATCATTTATACAGGTAGCTTGATCAGCTAGCTTATCCTGTGCCCAAGCTCGGAGTTGCTCACAAAAGGTTATTCCAGAACGAAAATCAGTATCGGAAGTGAGTGGAGCATCATTAAAGCTCCTCGCCATGATTGGCCAGTATGCATCCCCAGCTTTAATTTCACTCAAACTTAAAAGATCCCGCCATGCAGCGGAATGTTTTTCGAATCTGAGCCATTCTTCGGAAAAAGGGCATGGGATGCTTTTCAGGATCAGGGAGTGAGGTTACAAAGGTGGCGGCTTGGGAGGGGTTAAATGTGACATACATGGGTGGTGCACCGTCCGCTCCAGGGTTAACCTGGGTATAACCTCTGGGGATAGAGTGCCGTTGGGGGAGTCTGTTTCCCCCGGGGCGAGGTGAGTCCTGTTCCTCCACATCAACCTCCTTGGGTGCCGCTAGGCCTCGGTGAGGAGTGATCTCAGGGGAAACCGTGGCCGGAGCAGCTGGGAGGCCGGTGACGGGTGAGGTGGTTGGGTGGAACCCCGAGGCCTGTGGGGAAACGCCCACCACATAGGGTTGGTCCGACGTCACTGACACATCGTACCCGACCACCATGATTGGGCAACTAGAGCTAGCGGGGGAAGTATAAGGAAGTAGGAAGGGAAAGAGATGACGAGGCAGAAGGATGTGACGTAGTAGGGGCGGGCGTGTCAGGTGATGGTGATGGCGTATGGGTGGAGGGCGGATCAGCCTGGAGAGTAGGAGGGGTTGGGCCTGGGAGTGTAGGTGATGACGTAGGAGCAGGAGGATGGGACAAGGCAGAGAGGGCGGTTACTAGTGACGTAAAATCTATGGAAGGAGAAGGGGTCGGGGGCGGGTCAGCAGCGGTAGTGGATGAGGAAGCAGAAGCAGGGAAAACAGAGTTAATAGGTTGAGTAAGGTTTAAGAGAGCGGAAAGCAGGGATGACAGATCTTTAGAAGGAGAGGGGGATGTCGGAGCCATAGGCGAAGGTAGAGATGTAGAGGTTGCGAGGCGTGTTAGCGTTGAAAGGTTAGAGAAGAAGGAGGAAAGGTCTGAGGAAGATGGAGAAGGAGTAGTAAGGGCAGGAGGAGGAGGAGAGGGAACAGGAGGTACGGGAGGAAGGACAGGTGAGGTAGGGACAGTGAGTTGAGTGGAGGATGAGAGAATAGAGAGAAGGGACGCGAAGTCCGGGGGTGGAAGCGGAAAAGGATCAGTGAGAGGGCAAGGGTCTGGGGGATCTGGAGTAGTGGGATGGGTAAGGGTCGAGAGGGCAGAGAGCAGGGACGATAGATCAGTGGAAGGGGACGGGTGAGCAGGAGTCACCGGGGAGGGGTCAGTTGGGGTGGAGAGGGAGAGAGAAGGTGTGGGGACCTCTGTGGGCAGGGTAGGAGCTGATGGGGCAGGATCCGGAATAGGAGCTGAGGTGCAGGCAAGCGTAGGTAGGGGGGGCGGAGGACAGGGAGGTGGGGGAATGTCAATGGATGTAACGGGGGGAGGGGCGGGGGATGGGGCCTGATCGGGAAGGGGCTGGAGCATAGGGGTGGGTGGAAACGAATGGAGTGGCACAGGGTAATAGTAAGCACCATCGGCCCCGAGCACGGGGCACAGGGGGGTGGGGGCTGGAACCACACCCGGAGGGTGGAGTCTGAGCAATGACGGGGGAAGCAGGGCGGGAATTAATTGTCACGCTCTGGGCGCCATCATTGGGCGGTGGCTGAATATCCTCATCCGATGATTCCATATCTCTGAATGGATCCATCTCCCAGGATTCCTAAGAGTATTCATTCTGGGAATTGTCCAGAGGATCCAAGCTTTAACAGCTTCTATGACGTCTTGAGATACCTCCTGTTAATACTGCGTAATACACGGAGCATGGGTAGATGGACCTGTAGCCACTTTCAGACAGTCTGTGCAGAGAGTTTACTTTTACAAGGTTCTCTTATGATATGCCTCACAAACAATTCTTTAGTGTGACTTCCCTTGTATGATCCGGATTATTTTCTTCCCGTAGAGCTATCATCATAGGGAATTCCAATTATTGATAGGCACTCTTTTGTTTAGTAATGACAGAAAAAATAGAATGGCTTACCTATGTCTCTTAGAGTGTGACCTTTTTTCCGGGAGCAGAGGGATCTGAATCCATAACTGCATAAGATTTCTTTTTATCCTTAATAAAGAAAATCTCTGCTAAACAAGTAGAGATTGATAGATACAGAAAAATAAGTAATATACCTTCAAAAAAGAAAAAACTTACCAAAACCAAAAAGAAGAATTCAAATTAAGATGAAAACTGCACACAAATCTAATTACTTAATATAGGAAAAAACCAATAAGAAAACATTATGCTGAAAAGGGAAAGCCAATATGACCCTGCAACCGGACTTACATTTTAGAATACACACAAGAGAATCAGATTTCTGCGCATGCGCAGTAATGGCATTGCGCGACCATTAGACTAGCACCTGCGTATTCGCGGGGATTAAACGCAGAGGAAAAAACCTTAATGGGCCCAAAAGTAAGAATGGAAACTTAGGGACTTTTAATAAAACAGGTAGAAAGGCTGAGATAGAGGAACAGAACAGTGAATAGCCTATTACTAAGTACAGAGACATAGAAATAGGATAAGAAAGTTAGTGAATACATAAAACCAACATAGAGGAATATAATAATGCAATTAAAAAGCACATAGAATAAGTGAACCCAGCAGTTGTATTAAAAGGCACTAGAAATAATTATTGCAAAATCTTGAACCAGGAAAGAGACATTTAGATATTTTCTGGTTTCCAAGTATATCATAGGGATGTTACTTTTACCCAATTTAATGGCATGCATTTTATTTACCAAGGGACAAACAGATTCTTCTGATGAAATATTAGCCCACTGAGCTATCTCACCACACTCAGGTGAGGCAGCTGCAATAAAAGATAAATAAAGGCCTAGGGATAAGTAATCCAGTGGATATTAAAAGATACAGAAGCCTAGGAATAAGTGACTCCAGTGGCTATATTAAAAAACCCGACAGTGGCCTAGGAATAAACTAATCCAGCTGCTATATTAAAAGGCCCAGCAGAGGCCTGTGAATAAGTAATCCAGTGAATATATTAAAAGACACATAAACCTCAGAATAAGTGACTCCAGTGGCTGTATTAAAAAGGCCCAACAGAGGCCTAGGAATAAATTAATCCAGCTGCTATATTAAAAGGCCCAGCAGAGGCCTAAAAATAAGTAATCCAGTGGATATATTAAAAGACACAGAAGCCTCTGAATAAGTGACTCCAGTGGCTATATTAAAAGGCCCAACAGAGGCCTAGGAATAAATTAATCAAGCTGCTATTTTAAAAGGCCCAGCAGAGGCCTAGGAATAAGTAATCCAGTGGATATATTAAAAGACACAGAGGCCTAGGAATAAGTTTGATTGAAATTCAGATTAGCAGGAAACTCTTACCGTTTAGATGAAACCGATGAAGGGTAGAAGGGGTTATACCCATATATATGCTCTGTATGTGCCTGCCCAGCCTGCTACTCCACTGCAGGAAATAGGCTGATGACAAAATCTTGCTACCCCTAGGGTCACAGCAAGTAAATGCATAGGAAAGTACAGGATAGTGAGTTGTTCTTTAACCCTTTCAGTGATGGAATGCTAGTCCATCTCACATTAACTCTTTCAGTGATGAAATGTTAGTTAATCTCATAGAATCCTTGCAATCCATGTGCTCTGTATGTGCATGCCCGGCCTGCTACTCCTTGGTCACTGCAGGAAATAGGCTGATGACAAAATCTTGCTACTCCAGGTTCACAGCAAGTAAATCCATGGCAAAGTATAAGCTAATGAGTTGTACTTTAACCCTTTCAGCGATGGAATGTTAGTCTGTTTCACATTAACTCTTTCAGCAATGGAATGTTAGTCATTGTCATAGTAATCCTTGCAATCCATGTGCTCTATATGTGCATGTCCGGCCTGCTACCCCTTGGTCACTGCAGGAGACAGGATGATGGCATAATCTTGCTACCCCTAGGGTCACCGCAAGTAAATCCATATGCTCTGTATGTGCATGCCCAGCCTGCTACCCCTTGGTCACTGCAGGAATCATGGTGATGGCATGATCTTGCTACCCCTAGGGTCACAGTAAGTTAGAACCCCCGGTCACTAAAGGGGTCTCTCCAGGGGGTCACCTTTGCACAGGGCCGTGTACTGGAGACTGCCCAAGGGAGACAGGCTGAACTCCCTTGAGGGAGAAGAACAACCCTCAGGTTAGCCAAAAAGAAACAATTCTCTAGTCTTAGAATGACGAAGTCTGTCTTAGGGATAGGACAGGAACAAAAAGACTGAGGGTGGGAGGGGTTACTTATACCGTCTGTTTTAATTAGGTTCCTGTCTGGTTAGGGATAGGGAGGAGCTACCCATTTTTGTGCTGCCATCGATATGGCCAGGCAGGGCTGCCATCAGAAATTTTGGGGCCCCTGACACAGCTCAAGGTCTGGGCCCCCCGGTGCCTGCACCCGAGTCCGTCCGTCCCCCCCCCCTCCTGAGTCCGCCCACAGGGATGCAGTGTCTGCAGGGCCGGTGCAAGGATTTTTGCCGCCCTAGGCAAAAGTAAAGTTTGCCGCCCCCATGTGACATCACAATGCCCCACCCATATGATCTGCCATGTTAACTAACACAGTGCTGCCGTGTTTACAATAAAAGGCCTGCAGGGACAGGCTATAGACACCAGAACCACTATATTAAGTGGTTAACTGCAGTGGTTCTGGGGACTATAGTGTCCCTTTAATGTGAGGTAAATTAGAGATTAGTGCCACAAATAATATACTAGATTGCCTACTTACAACCAGATGAGGATGATGATGGCTCTAGCTGCCGTCTGGCTCCACTGGTCTGGTGTAGAACAGGCTCTCTGGAGGCGGTTTGTAACTGTGGTCACAAAAATCAATGTTCTGGGAGAACAGGAAGCAGCTCCATTTTTTTGAGGGCCCTTTACACAGCTCAAGGTCTGGGTCCGAGGGTCCCCCTTTATGTTCCACCAATGAGTTTGTTCACAGGGGTGTGTGTGTGTGTGGGGGATGTCCTGATGTGTGTAAGGAATGCATTGTGTGAATCTGTGTTTGTATGTGTAAGGGCTGCAAGGTGAGTTTGTGTATGTATGGGATGCAGTGTGTGCGTCTGTAAGGGATGCACTGAGTGTGTGTAAGGGGTGCATTGTGTGTTGCTGTGTGTAAGGGATGCATTGCTTGTGTATGTGTGTCTGTGTGCAATGCATTGTGTATTTTCTGTGTGCAAGGGGTGCATTGTGTGTGTGTGTGTG